CTTTACAGGTAGTTGTATATACTGTTCATCCGCTTTTTCTCCTCTCTCACAATTTGGAAATAGCAGATAAGAAAGGATACTGGGAGCTCTTCAAAGCAAGGGAAAGCCCCATCATCCTGAGAACCTGGTTGCCTCACAGCACCGGAGAACAATGATGGTCATTGTCAGCACACTTAACCATCAAAAAGAAGCTATAGATGTGTACATTTCAATTTTGTGCTTAATAAGTTTATGAAGGTGTATCTTATGCCAAGAACTGTCCTAGCATTGAGGATACAGAAAGCAGTTCTGTCGAGGGGTTGACTGTGTGGTAAGGGAGGCAGACTAGGAGATAGGCAATTTTGATACATGACCAGGGAGGAGACAATCTTAGAATGGTGTGGATGCTTATGAAAGGAACATCTAATACATTATTTAGGGAAGACTTTTTGGTGGAAGTGATGTCCAAGATGAGACCAGAGTGACTAAAAGTTGGAAAGCGTATTCTGTCTTTCAAAAAGATTAAAGATGAGAGATGGTGGTGATATAGTGAAAAATATCTTTTGAAGTTGTTTGGTGAATGTTGCTATCAGTTCTAGTTCTGTCAGTTACCAACTGTGTGACTTGAAGCAAGTCAGGTAATGTTTCTACCATGAACCTAAAAAGTTAATAGTAGAAACAATGCATATTTTATAACAATGAAACAATAAAACAATACATATTTCATAAGGTTACTATAAGGATCAAATAGGACATTATATTTGAAGACTCTTGTGAAGTGCCAAGTACTATAAAATTGAAGTTTTAAGTGAAATAATGTACACAACTACCATTTCACATGATATCTGCTCTGTAGTAAACCCTCAATAAGTGGTAATTGTCTTCTGCTTTGTGTTACATTGCTTTGCTGCTTTGCAATTCCTGTTTTCTTCAGAAATGAGTTAATGAAAAGTGATATTCATCTGGTATCTATCCTCAGAGTCATCTCCTTGTTTCCTCCTCTCCTCTGTCATTTTCCAGAGCTTCCTCTGGAAGTTGCTTCCCTCAATCAGGCTTTTTATTGCTGGTGGTTGGTATTTTCATGTCTGTTATCTCATCTAGTCACTGTCTTTATTGCAGAAGAAATAGGAATTGGGAAATTAGGAGGTCAGAAACTTGAGGTTTTGGTCTCCAGCAACAAAGGAAGCTAAGCTTTTGTTCCATTATAATTCAAAATGTAAAATTGTGGGATGATTTTCTAGTCTCATAATAAATTTGTTTGTCATGTTGCCAAAAGTATAATTAGAAGATGCCCTAATTCTTAATTGTATATGGCACATCACTGTGTATTTAAAAACTTGTTTCTCTTTAAATGCATTTCAAAGGTTACACCCTCATATGAGTAAGAATGATTTTCTTGGTGACTCTACTCCTTTTTGTGAAAGTCTTGACTCTTTCTGGTTCTGTGTTGCTAAGGGATTAATCAGTGCAAATAACTGAGTTAACACCGGGACTGAGAGAGGTCTTAAAGCAACTGAGAAGTTGGCTTATAGAAAGGCCAGCAAAAGAGGAAGAACAGGCAGACCCGAATGACTCTGCCACAGTGGTCAAGCTTATGGCTCTGTTTGTATTTAGGGGAGGGCCCACTGCAAAGGACACAGAAAAAAGATAGCAGGTGCTTTGGTTTGAATGTTTGTGTCCCCTTGAAAATTCATGTTGAAACTTAAACCCCAAAGTGGTATCATTAAGAAGCGGGACCTTTAGAAGGTGATTAAGTCATGAAGTCAGAGCCCTTATGTATTTGACTGTTCTTGCATTGCTATAAAGAAACACCAGAGACTGAGTAATTTATAAAGAAAACACGTTTAATTAGCTCATGGTTCTGCACATGGTACAGGAAGCATAACATGGACATCTGTTTCTGGGTAGGCCTCAGGAAGCTTACAATCATGGTGGGAGGTCACGGGGAAGCAGGTGTCTCACATGGTGGGAGCAGGAGCAAGAGAGTGAGGTGGGAGGTGCCATATACTTTTAAAGGACCAGATCTTGTGAGAACTCACTATCTCAAGCACAGTGCTAAGAGGATGGTACTAAACCATTCATGAGAAACCCATCCCCATGATCCAGTCACCACCCACCAGGCCCTCCAACACCAGGGATTACATTTCAATGTGAGATTTGGGTGGGACATCCAAACCATACAACCTTATAAATGGGTTAGTGACCTTATAAAACGGTTGGGAGTAACTAGATAGGTCCATTTTTGCCCTTCCATTGCTTCCCATGTGAGAAGCAGCATTCATCCCATCTGAAAAATGCAGCAACAAGGTGCCATCTTGGAAGTAGACACTGGGCCCTCACCAAACACTAAACCTGTTAATGCCTTGGTCATGAACTTCCCAGATACCAGGACTATGGGCTCAAAATTTCTGTTGTTTATAAATTACCCACTCTTTGGTCTTTTGTTAAAGCAGCTTGAACAAACAATGACAGCAGATGTGTCTAGTTCATCAAGACACACCAAAAAGTCCAAGTGTGGTCCTTGTACATAGTAGGTACTCAACCACTAAGTGAGGATTTATTGAACACCTACTCTCCAAGTGCTGGTCCATGCAGGGGGCATCATAGTGAGGAAAGCAGTTCCTGATCCCAATATTCCTGTGATCCAGTGATAGAAACTAGCAAGGAAAGCACAATGAAAAAAATGTTAGACTAATGTAATTTCCCACAAATAACTTTAGGAACACTTAAGAAAGAACAGCTAACTGCCTGGGTGGGAGTGAGGTAAATGACACTGCAGAAAACAATGTGAAGTAGCATTTGTCACTGGATACCAGCCTGTGCAAAACAAATGGGTAAGGGGATTAAAAAATGCTTTTGATAACAAGTGAGGCAGAATTAAAAACATTATATTCACGAAAAGGTTCTGATGGGTGCTGAGTGAGGAAGTGAATTCAGCACTTCTGACTCTGGGATCTCTATTCTATCTACCATGTAAGACAACATCGTATTATCAAGAAGAAATTAGAAGCACACATGTTTGTTTTAAAAAATTTGACACATAGTTGAACTACTGTGGGTAACAGAATTAGAGGCAAAGATATTTCGCCTTCAAGGTTTATGACTCATATTTTCTGCCAGCTCTTTGTGGGCTCCGCTGTGGCATTTAACTTTCGATTGTACGAGTGGCCTGTGGTATGTCTGCTTTTGCAGCATTTAGATGTAGAGAGGATACTGGAGAAATCTTTGTCTTTGATTCCTGAACTAATGAAGGAGAATGGCTGTGTGCAGAAGTAGAAAGGGGAGTAATGGGTAGTGTGAGGTGGCCACTACCACTGGAGTAGGATAGAGCAGGTTTGATCACCACCCACCTTCCATCATTGTACTTTCCTGCTCAGAGCAGCCCTCTCTGTCTTACCTCTTCCCTTCTACACACAAAAAGACAGGTCTGAGGACGTACAAGTAGTTGCTAGTCCAGAGGGAATGGAGAAGGGCAGGTTTTAATTAAGAGTTGGCAGTATAGGTGCCCTTGATGGCAGTGGGAGGGGTTCTTTCATACTGCCAGGAGAGACACTCTCATTCTGGAGGGAAGCTGCCACACTGTTGTTGGGTATAGAGGTTTAGATCTGTAGTGGGCTGACCCTGAGAGCACTGTCAAGAAAGACCTCATAGCATGTCCAAGACTCTTGAACCCAATCATTGAGTCCCCAACAGCTTCTGTGGGAAGCCTTATTTCTGTGATGTAGAAATTGCAAAGACACAGGACAGCAATTAGGAAGAACTGGTTAGACCTCTATGGTCTCCCCAACCTAGAGTTCAGAAATCTGTAAAGATATTCTTTACCCTAGATGAGCTCCTTGGGATGTTATCAACTCCTTCTCAGTGGAGGGAAAAGAAAAAAAATGACTCTTTAGAAAAAAAAGAGAAATGGCATTAGGGGATGAGCAGCAAAGTATTCTTGACAAAAAATATTTTAGTAGAAGGAGGCACTCAACAAAAGTCTTAAACCCTCCCTACCATCACCCATCACCCAAGATAATCATATAGAAGGTACGTACAGGCATGAAACCAAAAAAACTCCCAGAAAGCCCTGGGAAAAAGGATATTTTTCTCAAAGGAGTCTACTAAGGAAAAAAATATATTTTTTTCTTGTTAACCTTTTTTGGTGAATTGAGTGATTTAACAATCATACTTCTGAACTACTCCTGCCTGCTGGGACTGTTTGTTTTGTTCTATTTGCATTTCTTAATGCTACCAGGAGGTGCCATGGTATGTGCAAATGAGGAATGCTTTTATGGTTCTCATTCTAACAGGGCACAGATATTCTTGACCAACTCAATTTTTCTTCATAATGATTAGAGAGAAGTTGATCCCATGGAGAGAACCAGCAGCCAGAGAGAACTGAATTAGGACATTTAGATTAGAAAGGTGAGAGTTAAGTATGATCTGTGGCCATGTGGCCAGCATCTGATGACTACACTGGATAAAAGCAAAGGCTTTAGCATAAACTGAATAACAAAGACTAAATTTTCAAGGACTAAACCAGTGTTTTCCAACTTTCCTATTTTTTAAATTTAATACACTCATTTCACTTTTCCCTGACAATTCTGATACTATTTTCTTTCAGGGGGAATCCGTCATTATTGACTATCCTTACCTTGCTGAGATGATTTTGTAGTTTTATTTTCCATAGATTGCATTACAAAAATGATACACATTGCTTTTTTTTTTTTTAAACACAGTATAATCACATTTAATATACTTTTAAGAAGTCTCTTTCTTCATCCTAGAAATTCGGATATTGTTTCCTAAAAGTCATGCCCATTCTCCTTGACCTCTCACATCCGTCGTTGAAAATGCCCGGACAAAACTTCGAAATATATGGAAACAAAGACTAAAATGTTGTAATAAATACACTAAAGCAAGACATGCACATCCCATTGCAACATAGACTGCATGGGACACAGTCGTAAGGTTGTTTAATGTAAGTGAGGACACACATTGCTATGAATAAATGTTTATTTATGTAGAGGAATAATGCATTAAGAAATGTTTCTGCCCATGCCCCTGCATAGGGCATCCTTGACCTCCTTGTTCCTTAGGCTGTAAACAACAGGGTTCAGCAGGGGAGCGACGATGGTGTAGGTCACTGACAGAAGGAGGTCTTGTTCTGTAGAGTTTTCTGACTTGGGCTTGAGGTAGGCAATGGAGGCACAGCCATAATGGACAATGACCACAGTGAGGTGGGAAGCACAGGTGACAAACGTCTTCTTCCAGCCCTCAGTTGAGGCAATCTTGAGGATAGTGGAGATGATGAGGACATAGGAGATGAAGACCAGACCCATGGGGACCAGGATGACAAATAAACTGACAACAAAATTGATTATCTCATTGATAGTGGTATTAATACAGGAGAGTTTCATGGCAGGGAGGATGTCACAGAAGAAATGACCAACCACCCTGAGACAAAAGGTCAGATAAATATGGATGTTACCTGGACAGCTACCATGGCCAGCCCAATGCTAAAGGCTCCACACACCAGCTGGACACACACCCTCATGCTCATGATGACCATGTATCTCGGGGGATTGCAGATGGCCACATAGTGGTCATAGCCCATCACTGTGAGCAAGAAGTAATTGTTGATGGCCAAGGTAACAAAGAAGAACAGTTGGGTAGTACAACCTGCTAGAGAGATTGGCTGGGTCTGGGCTACCAGGCTCGAGAGCATCTGTGGAATGATGACCAGTGTGTACACTCTCTCAGAGCTAGCCAGCATGCTCAGGAAGAAGTACATGGGAGTGTGGAGGTGACGGTCAAAGTGGATGATGGTCACGATGATGGCATTGCCAGCCACGGTTAATGTGTACATGATGAGAAAAACCACAAAGAGAGTGATCTGATGTTTGTAGAATCTGGAGAATCCCACGAAAACAAACTCTGCTACTTCTGTGAAGTTCTTTCTTTGCATTCTTTAATTGCAATGTCTGAAAGCAATGCAAGAAGTCAACGTCAAGAAATTCTTATCATGATATGAATTCTAGAACAAGGATAGAGCAATGACTGTAGAAAACACTAAGAAAAAAAGTCAATTTCTCTGCTTTGTAATCAGAAGCGTTCTAGCTCATGTTATATAGCTACTTCACCATCTTCTCCCTTTTCTGTTTGTGCTGTCTTCTTAATCTTCTAGCACTGCTGATACTGTTAAGCCTCTGGCCAAGGAATTGCCAATATGTGACACCACAGCCCATATCTTTTCAAAGTGCCATCATAAATGTGCTCTTTTGTAGCACATGGAGGAAGGCATTTTCCTTTACAATATGCATGGCACAGGGGTCCCATCCCATGCCATCCTGTGAAAGTCCACACAGCTGAGACAACAAAATGGGGGTGAGAGAGTTGGACTTACTGAATTAGAACCATTGGTGGATAGCTTCTGGTGACAGTGTAGGGGAACAGAATCAAGGTCAGTGAGAGCTGACCTTTGGGAACACTTCAGTGGGAGCGAAGATGAGGTATTCTGGGCCCAGCCTAGATGGTCTAGGGGAGGCAAACCATTGGCAAAATTGATTTATTGTGAAGGTATTAACAGGGGCTTAAGGTTTGGAGATGTGTAAACTAGATAGAGAAGTGGAAGCTGTTGGAAAAAGAGAGAAGAGAACCAGCAACACAACAGAAAGTTGGACCTCGAATTAAAAAAAAGATAGCTGATTTATTTTTGACAGAGGGAATTCTAAGAATAAAGAGGTGTACTATTTGATTTAAATTGTTTGCTGAACTGTATTGTAATGTAAACTCCCTTGAGAGCCTCAAGAGCCTATGTTTAAAGCTTTTATATGTATAATTTTCAGTTAGTGGTAGTTAGGAAGTAAAGAGAAGTGGATGATGGCACAGTGCAGAAAAAGGTATCATGTGCAAGGAGTAAAATTCAGACTGAGGAAGAAAAACCACTAGCTTGTAATGACTAGAAGAAATACAAGGCCTTCCCCTGCCCTCCTATCCCCGTTACAAGCACACACAATATTTGCTAGAAATTTGGTGAGTGGGTCTGGGATTTCCATCATATATCAAATGATGATTTGAACCATTTTGCTTAAATAACAAATAACACTAACAGGCTGGGGGATTTTGGCACACTTAGGAAACTGCCACTAGGAATCTAGGAAACATTGTGGGTGTTTTAGAAAATAGTCCATCATGGAAAATGAGGCAAATATTTCGAGTAGAAATGAGTGTGTCACTAAAATTAAAGGAATTTGCCTTAAAAGACCACTGAGATACGAGTTGGATAGGCAAAGATTAAAGAGAGTGACAGTGCAACTCCAAGCAGCCTTTTAGAAAGGATAGGATGGAGCTATGGCTATGTAAATTTAAATTGACTAAAATAAAAGAGAATTAAAAATTCAGTTAGTCGGCCGGGCGCAGTGGCTCAACCCTGTAATCCCAGCATTTTGGGAGGCCGAGACGGGCGGATTACGAGGTCAGGAGATTGAGACCATCCTCGCTAACCCGGTGAAACCCCGTCTCTACTAAAAAATACAAAAAACTAGCTGGGCAAGGTGGCGGGCGTCTGCAGTCCAAGCTACTAGGGAGGCTGAGGCAGGAGAATGGCGTGAACCCGGGAGGCAGAGCTTGCAGTGAGGTGAGATCCGGCCACTGCACTCCAACCTGGGTGACAGAGCAAGACTCCATCTCAAACACCGCATGTTCTCCTCATAGGTGGGAACTGAGCAATGAGATCACTTGGACTTGGGAAGGGAAACATCACACACCGGGGCCTATCATGGGGAGGGGGCCGGGGGGAGGGATTGCATTGGGAGTTATACCTGATGTAAATGACGAGTTGATGGGTGCTGACAGGTTGATGGGTGCAGCACACCAACATGGCACAAGTATACATATGTAACAAACCTGCACGTTATGCACATGTACCCTAGAACTTAAAGTATAAAAAAAAAAAAAAAAAAAAATTTCAGTTAGTCACACTAGCCACATTTCAAGTGATTAAAAGCTACATGTGACTAGTGGCTACCACATTGGACAGCTCAGCTGTCAAACATTTTCTTTTGTTGGTAAAAGTTATGCTGGACTGTGCTGTTATGGTGTCCTGCCATGAACAGACGTGTGGAATACATTAAATAATAACCACAAAATGAGATATTTAGAAAACAATACTATGATGTGCTGCCATATGGTTAGGAATATTTGCATGTATGTGTGTGTGTGTGTGTTTGTGGATGTTCATAAATATTTGCATATGTGGGGGAAAAAGCCTGAAAGAATATGAACTTGATATTATCATGAATTAGTTATATTGTGCTGGTGGTGCTATAGGGAACTTTGACTTTTATCATTTCTACAGGGATGATAATGGCTCATTTTAAAATATTTTAAGCATAAAATTATAACTCATAAATAACTTGGAGAAGTCAAGGAGGATGACAACTGAAAACATATATTCAATTGATTAAGAAGGTGGCTACCAATGACCTTATTGGCCACAGCTCTAGTAGAGTCCTGGGCTGGAAAGCCTGATTATGTGGAGTAAACAAAGAAGAATCTTGTTAATGTGTCAGATGAGAACAACAGATCTCTTGTGCCTTTTCCCTTTCCTGATGAGCCTATTGCAATGAATGACAAAATATAATTAAGGCTATGTTGAGCCAGGAAAACTATAGACGTATTTGGAGTAGGGAAGGAGGGAACATACAAAACTGAATTAAATCAGGAGGAGGAAAAATCTTCTGGCATCTTTAATGTAGGAGCTGGAAAGTGCTGCTTTCACCCCAAATCAGTCACTGATTTGTTGTAAAAATGTTTCATGTAAATATAAATTTACTTTCTTGAAATAAGTTGTGAAGATATAGACACGATGGCTAAGGATTCACTAGATGCAGGGAAACTGGGTCAGGTACATAAGCCCGGGAAAAGAAGTTTATTGCCTATGGTATACATTTGAATTGTATGGAATGGGCAACAAAATAATATCTTAAGATATTCATAAAACTTGGGGAAACAAATGCAAAAATGAAAGGTCAGAGTAAGATTTGGAAGCAAGAATAGCCCCTTCAAACCAATGTTCTTTCCATGTTGTTTAGTATTTATTTGGAGGAAAGGTGTGTGGTGTGTGAGGGAAAGGTAAAGCCCTGCCATAGGGGAAGCTATCATTTCTCCTGCATGTGGAGCTCAGCTACAGGGGATCTCCCAACACTAGGCTTAGCCCAAACAAACAAACAAACAAACAAATGAGCCCTACAGTTATTGGGCTTTGTCCTGCATAGAGTGCACTTAGTGGCCATCCACACCTCCTAGAGTAGGTGTCATTGCTCGCCCTGGTTTTTCCAAGTGTTCTTCAAAACCACATCACTCTCCCTGAAAGGAGTTCTATTATGTGTTTCACTTCATTTTGCTACCTATCCAACGATGTTTTGGAGTTCCTTTATGATTCAGGGCAATTGCCTGGTTGTCTCATTTTTTAACCTGTCACTTTCTGAGGTGCAGAAGCAATCTAAAATTATTACTGTGAGAAATTATGGCTCAAATGTCAAATACACAGCTGTTACTGTCCCTGGAAGTGAGGAAGGCCCTGGTGAGAGAGACAAGGAAGTCTGAGACACAGGAGGAAATCACATTGTTAGTTATCCTTGGTCTTCTTGGAGCCTTACACATACAAAATCAGGCAGCAATGAGCACCAATGTTTAGCTTGCGAAGGGAGAAGAGGTCCCAGAGGGTACTGTGGAGCCAGAGAAATGTGTGGAATGGGTGGGTTGGTCTCACCCGTGGAGGTTTGCCAGGGTGAGTTCTCAGTGGTTAGAATGTGTCTCAGTGAACTTAAGGGCTGTGTTACACCAGATGGCTACCCCCACCCCTCTCTCTCTCTCTTTTTTTTTCTACTTGTTGCTTTTTTTGAGTCTCCACCCAGCCAGAAGCGAGTGCAGCTGAGCACAGTAGCAGCAGCCCTTCTACCACCCAAATCTGGGCCTTCTCTGACTGAACCCTAAGGGCGTTTCTGTGGAGGGAACACACCAGTGGATAATCTCAAAAGCACAGTAGAGAACAGAAAGAAGCTTTCAAAATGATTTATACATTCCAGAAGGATAAAAACCCTGTGGGAGAGTAAAAATACTGAAATGTGCTCATGCATCAAAATGTTAGTCATGAAGTCAATATTCCTACCAGAGGAAAAAGAAAAATAAAGTGGAGGGGAAAACACAATTTGAAAGTGTAAAGGAAATGCCATTTTCAAGGGGAAGAAATTATTACAATAGCCATGGATGCCGACAAATATTTTGATCTTTATAAGCAAAATTCGTTGCTGGAAACAGAATCTGTGTTAAAAAAATTAAAATATGCAGGTAGGCAAAACTTCTATAATTATGTTTTGTGTGTAAAGGAATTACACAGTTAAAAAAAAATAGTGACCTGCCTTTTTGGTAGAGTTTCCATCCCCTCCCTTCCTTTCCCTTATTTTCCTTCCCTTTCCTTTCTTTTTTAAACAAAATAGATCTAAGGAGCCAGGGAAGGAGGAGTCAACATCTTAAGAAGCTGGTGATCATGAGAGCTATTTGAATAAATGAGAATAATAACTTTTCTTTTGTCTAGAAGTCTTCTCAGACCCAAAAGTGTCCATCTACCTTCTGGAGTCTGTGGAATCTCTCTGTGTTCAGTTTTAGAATAATCGTGGCTAATTTACAAAAGATCATTACAATTCTAGGAAATCTAATTATCATTTGTCTGGAGAAATAAATGACAGACTCTTGATGTCTTTAAAAGTTTAGCCTTATTTGATTCTCAGCCTTATTAGATTATTGGGTCACTTACATTTCACTGGACTCTGGCTGAAGCACAGGGTGACATTCACAGAGTCCCTTTGGCCCTTTTTGCTTTGGCTCTAGAAGAGCTGCCCCCTTAAATTCTGTGATTAGAAAGAGACTCTCAGAGGAGACGTTCTTCTGTCTAGCTCTGGTCTCCTGCATCAAATTGTCAAGAGACTTACCATGTCTCCCATGGGTCTGCACAGAGTCAGAATCCAGAAATGAGCTGGAGGATCTCATTACAAGCAGATCACACCAGGAATATTGAGCAAGCTTTGGTCTCACATGGCCTGCTACTTATTTTTCTTTAGGGAAAAAAATAGCT